GTCCCCATTGGTCCATGGCTGTTGTTGTCCAAGCCAAGCTGTGAGAATTGCTTGGTCCTTGCGAACTTTGTCCACGTTCGCTGCCTGGACTGTGCACATGCGATGGGGTGCCAGGTGATGTGATCCCAACCAGACTTGCGACCATCTGACCCGACATTCCGGGGGCTGCGAAGCTTCCTTTGCCAGCTGCCACAGATTTCACTTTCTGCGGAGGGCTCATTGGTGCTGAGGTTCTTGCCGGAGGAATCATTGGTTTCCCACCTGTTCGAGCATGTTGGTACACTCGAACTTCTTGATCCCAAACTTCCAAATCGCTTTCTGTCAAAACAACTAGGTCGTCCTCGGTACTTGTCCTCTTCGGAGATGGGCTGTGCTTCATCATGTGCGCAAGCTCCTCGATCTTCTCTTTCTGCGATTGGACTTCCGACAGCAATTCGCTCATCATCGATGCCTGATTCTGTGGAACCTCTTGGTTCGATACCTGAGTGGCTACTTGATTCAGCAGAATGGTCAACAGCGTCTGAAGGCTTTGCATCACATTCTCTGCGATGCTCTTCACCATCTGCATCAGCTCGCCACGGGTGGGCATGACGAGGTTCGATCAGCGAACGTGCAATCGAATCACTGCTTGCTCCAAAAATGCTCTGGATATTCGTTGGCATCTGACACATATCTGAGAGACGAATCATCAAAAGTCCTGTTCGGCCTTCGTGCAACTTGATTGATCTATTTAGCGAGCTCAAAAAACACGAACCCTTCTGCAAATCCATAATGGTTCCTAACTGCTTCATTGCTTGGATTGACAAGAGGAATGGAGTACCTTTTGGGACCACCTCAACGACCAACCACATGCGGACCTTTTGATTGTCTATTGGTATGTGTATCTGTTTGTAACTGTGTTCTATCTGATTGTTACCGAATCGAAAAGTCACTCGGCTCGGCTTCTCTTTCACACGGTCTCGGACGAAGGTCGGCAACTGTTCTAAGAGCATTTGGAGATGCTCATCTCCTACCACACTCCGGCTCGCTCCTGTGTCCAGGATAGCCATTCCATTCGTTTGGAATCCTGACAAGGATCCGGCTCTATTGGTGAGCCCAGCTGCGATTGAAGCTCTCGGCGGCTCCGGTGCTCGAATGCTTGGTCTCCTGGGTTCATGATTCAGCACTCGTTTCCTATTCATGAAAAATGACATGGTTCGCAACTTGGTGGCTTCGGTGAACAATGCAAACTCACATGAACTGCTCTCAAAACTTGCATCGGCTTCGAACGAATAGCTTTCGTGGCTTGGTTCTATCCGTGTCGTTTCGTTTCTGTCTTCTTTTGACCAAACCCCGACCTCCCCTTCTGACTCAATCTGTTCGAACAGCACTTGGTCAGATTGGAATGCATCGGCCTCAACGTATGGCGTGGATGCCACATTGGCCTGCGACTCCTTGGAACGAAGGGGACACTCAGCCTTCCAGTGACCGATCTCGCCGCAGCGTTTGCAATGGGTCCTTGCAATGCGGCTCAACAACTCTTCCTTTCCCTTGGATTGGCCCTTCTTGAACCCTTTGAACCCTGGAGGTCCATACCCTTTTCCAGACTTGCTGCTTGATGAACCACCCTTCAAAGGCCAAAAGCCTCTATTGCGCTTACGCTCAACAATGCGGCCTCGAGCTTCCTGATAGCTCAACAATGCTGAATGCAAGTCAGGCACCTCTTGAAACAACTCTGTCAACTCTTTCTCAAAACTCTGAACCGTCAACGCGTCAGCATCTCCAGTTGAAGCCAAATGCTCCAACATGTCCGGTGTGAGGTCCTCCTCATCAATACTGGCTGCATAGAGGTTCTGGTCCTGATAGGACAGATCTGTAGCCTCAGTGGTGCTTTCAGTGGATTCTTCCACGAAATTCGTGGGGTACACTTTCTTGCGATCTGTTCCACCACCTGTCAAAACATTGGTTGAAAGGCTGCGCATAGCATTCTCAATTGCAGTCTTCTCGAACTGTCCGTTCGTGATGGTCAGAACTTTCTTCTTGTCCTCTGGTCCTAGATTGCTCTGCTTCAGAAGGACAAATGCTTTGATCGACTTCAATGTCGTATCCTGTCCAACCTCTTCAAATGCAACATCCAACCTGTTTACGAATGACTGCGTGCTTTCGTCTGACTTCTGGGTCGTCTTGTAAATTGCGCGCTCGAACAACTCAAACGTCTTGAGCTCTGCACTCTCCTCCCAGGCTGACAATGCCTTGAGCAAATGCTTCACACCTTGGTCAGGATTCGTCAATGCGTCCGGCTCGATCGTCCTGACTTGATGCCATGCCGTCCCTTTGCACAACATAGCAAGGCGTGGCGCCAACATTCCCCGATCTTTCTTCGGGCAAATCCCATCAAGGAACTTGACTTTTGCAATGTACTCTTTGATGTCATCTTGACCTGGATCGAAGCTAGGCAACAAATTCCAAATGGTGGCAGCTTTATCTTCGGAACCCATGGCTTTACAACGTCCACGTTGAGCCTCCGGGCTCCGCTACCAATGTGACTGGGATTCTCCCAGATCACAAAGGTAGCTTCTCAGCCCTCAACCAAACAACCTACGGGGTCTACTCCAAACCAACCTATGTGTGGTCCTCCACCCTGTTCAGCGGTCCACCGCACTTGTTTCCCTTCCTGCTTCCGAGTCGGCCCTTGAGCCAAACCATCATTGTGGTTGGTCTTCATCCCTTCATGGTTTCATTCGAAGGTGGCTTCACTGGCTTGTCGATTCGATCGATTCACATATACATATATATATATATATGTATTTATTTATATGTATATTTATATTTAATCCATTATATACATACCCACTACGTTGAGAAGGCATTCCATTCTTGCTTGCTAAGTGGTTTCAAACGAAAGGTACACATCTTTTGGGCAGACAGCAAACATATGTATGTATGGATATATATATATATATGCTCTTCCTCCTCCTGCCACAGGTTCCCCGGTCTTTGACCATCCAGAAAATATATACACCTTTCCATTTCAACAGAACAGATTTATTTGTAAATGGAAGCGCGCCTGAAAAGAAGCAAGATGGTGTCAGAGCTATGTTTCAGACCTTCTTTGGTACCTTTGTCTCCTGTTCGACCCAATCCGATGGGTTCCTATGGGTTTCTATGGGGCGCTCGTGCGGTATGAAATGCATTATAGCTATTACATAGCTACTACAAACCCAGTGATTTCTGCTGCGGACAGACGGCCTGACCCTCCGTGGTTCCGTTCCTGCACGGTAACCATGATGGTGCAGCAACCCAGTAAATAAAGGTGTCCTGCCGACATTGGACCAAAAAGACCTGTGAACAAAACAAGAAGACCTCCAGTATGTAGACATATATATATATATGTGTATACATAACTATTTACATCTATATATATATACATATAACTCTATCTATCTATCTATCTATCTATCTATCTATCTATCTATCTATCTATCTATATGTATATTTGTGTGCACACCTTTGTTTCCAAGAGTTTGTTCGATATGGATTTCACGGACCTACTTGTTCCACAGAGCAGGGGACAAGGCAGGGTACATCGTCGCCTGGTCAACGAAGCTGGCGATGTATTCGAGGATATGGAAGTGGGACGCCACTTCCACGTACCTGCTTTTGCTTGTGACGTTGACAAGCTGTGATTTCCTCGTGAAGCGTTTGTTGAAACATTCTGCTTGCGCCGACTCTTCACCACGCGGCTGTATGCAAGTCAAGGGCTAAGTACTTATTCATGAACCACCTTCTGAAACCTATGCTCATTCATTTGAGCTATGAATCTAAGTGTGACCTGCATCTTCACAGGTGTGCAGTGTGATCCCCGATTGGGGGGCCGTATTCACCACTGCAACTTGCTGATCTATCACTGCCTGCCGCGAGCCGTTTCCTGAACATGTGAGCACGTCCGGGAACAGCTGACTAAACGTGCCGAGCTTACGGAGACTTCTCACATACTCTTCCAAGCTGCATTGCATTTTTGCCACACAGTTGAGCATGGTCTAAAACTATCCCTTACATGTGTAAGTAAGACCTGCTCATAAGAGCAGTGTGCGTAAGCAAAACTGTGAGTTGCGTAAGGTTGCGTAAGCTTATGGTGACACTTCAGTGTGCGTAAGCAGTGCGTAAGCATATTATGTTGGATTTTTGATGATCTTTGTAGTAGATGTTTTTCGGTGCTGCTACCATTGTGCTGTAGTCAGTGTCAACCTCCAGAACTAAACATTTGGCAATAACCAAAGCTTTGAGTGAGTGACTTTGCAACCCTGTGTCCGTGAGAGGCTTTCCAGTGATTAGCAAATATATGTGGCGTCATAGCTATGTCTTTTCCATCTCATTGAGTTGAATTTGTTTTTGGCCAGAAAGTACGCGAACATGCGCGTAAGCACCTTGTAAGCCACGCGTATAAGCAGTGCGTAAACAAAACCTTCGCTCGCGCATCCTAGTCCACGATGCCGCCAGCATATGGCACAGAAGACACATAGAACCAGCAAGATGCCAGCTCCCAAGAGATCTCTCGAAGACAGGCTTTCAGCAAAGGCAGGGCCTTAAGCAGACAAGCTGCCAAAAGGCGCAGGCAACTGGCAGCACAAAAAACTGCTGAAGATGAAAATTATTCATCAACTTCATCAAGTTCATCGTCTGAGTCTTCTCCTTGAGATTCCTTGGGATCATTTGGTGCCTGTGCGGAAATGCAAATTCAGGCACTATCTCCTGTTAAGCGTAAGCGAAGCGTAAGCTCTTATAGAGGAAATCTGGCGCGTAAGCAAAAACTGTGGTCGCGTAAGTACAGCGTAAGCAATAGCATAAGCAGACCCTTACGAGCAGGTTTTTAATCAGACCTTTTTGTCCACGCTCAGTTTTTGCCACTGAGACAATCTCCAAGTCTGATCCACGGATGACGACTTTCAAAATTTCTGTGGTGCTTCGCTAGACTCTCAACGATGTCTTTCACCTTGTACACAGCTTGCTGGCGCTTTGAGGACAAAAGGCTATGCGCCCTCCGTCGAGGGCGCGCCGCCTTGCGGCTGCTTGTGTGTGCACACCTCTGTTTCCAAGAGCTTGTTCGATATGGATTTCACGGACCTACTTGTTCCACAGAGCAGGGGACAAGGCAGGGTACATCGTCGCCTGGTCATCGAAGTTGGCGATGTATCCTGTTTGCGCCGACTCTCCACCATGCGGTTTTATGCAAGTCCAGGGCTAGGTATTCACTCGTGAACCACCTTCTGAAACCTATGCTCATTCATTTGAGCGATGAATCTAAGTGTGTTCTTGTTGAATATGATGATATGTAACTACATATATACAAAAGTGTGCAAACATGGTGGAAGGCGTCAAAACGTGTGTGTTTTTCTTTGCTGAAAAAGATGTGATTCCCCTTCCCCCTTGTTGGGTTTTGAGGACATTCAATCCTTGAATCACAGCTTCTTCCGCTCGCCGACCAGGAGGTCCTAGTGAAGCTTTTGGAGTTGCACCAGCAGCGGATGAATGTCTCGGACAGGTGGGCTGGCGGGCCAGGTGCGTCAAGCTGGACAGAAAGGACTTTCATCCATTCCAGGTTCTATGCCATCCTATAAAAATATCTAATACATCTTGGTTGATTCTCCACACAACGTGGATCCTGTGTGCACTTGCAAAATTTTTTCTCCAGCCTGCATTCCATATACAATCACTGTGGTCACTCTTAGAACTTCGTATATTTGGGTAAATTGAAGGTTGCTCTGGATCGAAGAAACTGGCCGGAAGGGAAGTGAACGAACTGAACTTGCAGGTTCCCGATGACCAAAGGGCGGCAAACCCATCCATGTTGAAACATCAGTGTGTACCCGATCAAAGGATCGGATCTTGAATGACCGTGTATTTGTATATATATATATACATATCGTTATCAGTTCGAAAAGAACAAATATACCTCTTCAAAGAGTGCAGTACTGTACTTGTACTGATAGTGTGCAAAATGTTTGTCGCTCGTTCGGTCTCCCCGTTTTCAGCGCTCGCTCGCCGAGGTGGGGTTCTTCCGGCTCGGTCCGCATGGGGAGCCTCGCCGCCACGTGCTACGGCACCTGAGACCGGACTGGGACTGGGATGGTTTTTTGATGGAGTTTGTGTGGCGGTGTGGCTGATGACTTTTGATATTTTTTCATAGTTCAATTCTTTGAAGTCAGTTGTTGGGCCCTTTAAAATACTGTAGAGACTGTTGGATCGTGACCTCGGCATGTGAGTGGTGCCTTCTTCCACAGGTGTGAACAGTGGATATGAATGTGTAAATGAAAGTGCTCAGGTCGGCCCCAACCTATGGAAGAGCACATCACATGCGGATCCGAAAGAACGCAATCCATATGTAGATTCTTGTGTGCGTAGTGTATCACGATCCGTCATGTCACTGGTCTTGAAAGGCGTCGATCTTTTTGCCAAAAAAAACCACTTGAACTTGCATTCACCATCGTAGAGCTTCGAAAAACTCATCCTCCGAGCAGACTGGGTGACTCCTTGACCACTGATGGGAATATATAGTTGGACGGAAGGGAAAGGCTTGGAAAATGGCGGTATTGTTTGTTGGACATTCTCGGTCTGTCAATCTACTCAGGACGAGGAAAGAGTGCAAACGGGAAAGTTCTCTACTCATGGGCAAATCAGCCCTCCCCCCGGCAAGTGAACATAAACAGCAAGTTCAGAACAGATGTCTTGCAGAAAGTCATCTTCTAGGGTTTGATTGTTTCAGGGGCCCTCACGTTCGGATACAAATGAGACACGGCCCCTGAGAGAACCAATTTGACAAATTGTGCTTTCCGCCAAGCCTTTCTAACCTTGCTTGTTCTTTTTGTGTGTGTGAGTGGAACCAGGATGACTGGACTGTTGGCTCTTCGATCACTCCCTGTTTTCCTTTCCACACAGCTTGAGTCTTCCTTCCTAAGGAAAGCATGCACCTTCACTGCCTCACAGCCGAGGCTTCACAGGCGGCACGTGTGCCTACGCTTCCTGCAGCAGCTTTCGTATGGCCATGTGTGACGCGGGGAAGTGCGCCGGGGCGCCCGAAACGACGCGGGGAAGGGGCGGCGAAACGCCGTGTGGCACAGCAGAACTTTCCGCCTCTCGACCTTCCAGCATGCCGCATGCCCCATTTTGCGAGCTGTGGTTGTGTCTTGCGGAGGGGTCAAGACACCGCTGAAGGTCCTGGACACAAAAGAATTTTGTTGTTCATCCCTTCTGTTTGGACCCGGACCAAAAAAGGGACTGCATGACGGATGATCTTCCGACGGAACTTCCGACACAGCACCCATTGAGACGACTGGTGCGGCAGAACTTCCGCCTCGACGTGACCTGTCGAGACCTTCCGGGGCCAAAGCGGACCTGTCGGACCGTTCGAAAACCTGAAGGGTTGATGGAGTGCACATGGGCTGGAGGCCATCGCTACTAGGTTGGAGGCGCTATCAACTTGATGGAGTGCACATGGGCCCGCCGAGAAGTTGCACCATCGCCATCCTTTATCAGCATCCGACAGCATCAACAATGAATAGCATGAGTTCTAGTGTTTTTCCTCCAAGTCATTGCAGCGAGAGGGATCCATCGTCATGTTGGCAATATCTATGTTCAGTTTGTCCAGTTGAATTTCCCAAAGCTGGGGTTTTATTTAATTAACACATGATGTTAACTGGGATGTTGAGAGCTAGGATCCATCAAAGGATATACAACAATATATATATATATATACATGCATGCTGGCATGCTGTATGTATATATATATATACACACATACATGTGACATGAGTGTATTCATGCATATACTGCACAAAACATCACAAATCTATTGGCGTCCCTGCCCACATCTCTTAAAATAGCGATGTCATGCCCCTAAGCAAGTTACTATCGGCTGTTACCGATAACTCAATGACAGCGAAATCTCCCCGTTTGGTGTGTTTCTGGCTCGCTCGCTCAGATGTGCCCTCATGGATGTGCTGGAGCTGATGGCAGGCCGGTTCCGCATGAGATACGAATTCGACGGAGATCGAAGGTCCACAAGATGGTCATTCTCATTTGAGACATGCCAGACATAATGGCCTGTTTCATGTTGGAATAGGTGACAAAAAGCGGGAGAAGAGTGCCGTGTGTTCAGTAATTATATGTAATATGGTTTGGGTACTTCATGAATGTTTGATTGCACATGTCAATATGAAAAGCATGAATACTAACTTTGGATTCCTCAATTAGACAGTGTGGCTGGAACGGATCGATGAGCACTGCGAGCGAATATGGCAGCCAGGATACTGCTTGAAGCCTCCCAAAGCATGAAACAAACACCTCCTAGCTCATTCCGGATTTCATTGAGCCTGAGTCTTGAGCCAGCTCCAGCTTCAAACCTAATATACCCAGTGACCAAGGCCGGTGAATGGAAGATGTGGCAGACACATGCCAGGAGCCATTGAACAATTCTGAAACCCACACCCACACCAGTTTCCTTTTTCGTTCCTTCGTCCGAGTTCATTGGTGGCTCCGAGGTGCTACCAGAGCCCAAACATGGTGGTCGCCAGCTCCTTCATCCTGACCAACGCAACCTGATGCGCATCGAGCGGCATTTTGTTTGCCAAATGGAGCCTCTGAAGGGCCATGAGAGAAGTCCTTTGCATGAAGTTTGAGTCTGCAAAATTCGAAGGAACATCATGGACGATTATATCTTTTTGTCAGACTCACTAGTATTTTGGACATTGCAACACACCTCCCCGCATAGTACCCCAAGTGATGTCTCAGGTGAAGTACCCAAAGTACCGGATGTATTTCAAGCGTGTCTTGGAGCGAGTGATGGCTGGGAACAGAGGCGCAGCTGAACCCACCAACAGGACACGTTTTGATGCTTTGCGTGGATTTGTGGAGTGGATAGCACAAATCTATGGACAAATTCATGATGTGCCGCGGTCAAAACCCGGGGGCTGCTTCTCTCATCTCGGGATGCTCTTATTCTCAGACCTTGATACAACCGCAAGAATTTCAAGAGGGGCATGGGGAAGAAAAGAATGACCTTTGATCATCCCCACGGGTTTGGATTGGGTAATCGAAACCTGTTTGGTTTTTTTGGTTGCAGATCATATGAGACCCATGAGCTGCTCGTCACGTTTCTGGGCCAAGTGCTTTGAGCAATGAGCCTCTGTTCGGCGCTTGCCGGTGGACAAGCCAATGGGTCACGTGAGTCAAAACCCAGGGTCAGGTGAGTCAAGGGAGCTCACTGCAATAGGGCCTGGATCGAACGAGACGTGCAACAGTTTCTTGCCGTTTAGATACCACGAGAGATCACGAGAGACTATAGACGACTATATTGCGTTATATAATTATATATATAGAGAGAGAGAGGTAAATTCTCATGGCTGAAGTTAGTGGTGGGGTCGCAGCACTGACATCGAATTGGAAAATTGCATGTCTTTTTGTTGCAAGTTGTTAGGGGCAACGCTTTTTGACTACAGCTGAGGGCATCCCTACTTGAGGATGAAGGATTTGTTGAGGAAATGTCTCCGAAGCCTATCACTCATCTTCCCCCATTTTGCTGGTCAGCCCAGGAGTCACTACCTGGGGACAGATGGGAACTTCCAGCATGCCCTCCTTCTCATTCTTTGGCGCCGACCTGTTTGACTTGTACCGGGTGCCAGGTACGCACAACCCGCATGCGATCCGCACACGGGCGCACGGGTGGGTTCTCAGCTAATCATCTAATCTGTCTCGGCGGAAAATGGTTTCAGGTGGGATGCTGACCAACAAAAGTCTTTGAATGGCACTCCCTAGTTCATGGCTTACAAGAAAGTTAACCTTTACAGTTCATGTGGGTGCCTGCCTTTCCATAGAGAAACTTCCACGGGATGATCCTGAGCAGATGTCAGACTCCGAATAGAAATCAAGTGCTTTTCATGAGTCGGCAGCCTGCATAGGATCAGTGGCAGTTGTTGAGACAAGGAGAGGAATCCAGCTTGTTGCGCCTTGCTAAGCATCTCGGTGGAGGGAGTTCATGGGATAAGACAATCTCATCAAGGACAGAAATCTCCTCAGGCCTTGCACACTAGCCTCTAGCGTCCACATGTATAATATACACATTATATACAGTATATAAATATAGGACCCTTTTCCCGGGCTTTTTCGTGTTCAGTTATTGGCGATGTGTGCCCGTCATCGATGGATTTCTTGTCGCAGTTTGCAAGGCCTCTTCGATGGAAAGGCCTTATTCATGATTGCATCTCACAAATGGCCCAGCTACGTTCTCGCATCATGGCTGCAAGTCCGAGTACCCTTTGGTGATCGTTAAACATTGAAATCTGGGAATGTCTCGAGAAAGATCCACACTTTTGGCAGCTATCGCAATATGAACAAAATGGATAAGCAGGGATGTCAATATGATATGCTTTTGGAGTGTTTGGCTCCACATGTCCTTCTAAAGAGTGTTCAATCCTTGTGGTAAATTGTGTTCACCTGCCAGAACCTCAAAACTGCAAAACTAGTCGATCGCTTTGGTATACCGTTATACCTGTATGTGTACAGAATTATATAGAATCATACAAGAGAAACGATTTACATAATTGTACTAATGTATTATACAATACGGTGCATATATAAAATAGATCCGCCCGCACCGAAGGTGCTCAGGGCGTGATCATCCGGATGGCATAAACAACTGTAAGGTACAGGTTTACCTGGGGGTGGGGCATTTTTTGGTGAAAACAATTGGTTTTTGATAGGTCGCGACGGCGGACTTCAAAAAAACACTGTTTTTACTGCACGGAATGGACTAGTTCGTGCATGCGCCCACCCGGAACCGGCAAGAGAAAAGTGAAAAAGCAACACATGTCTTTTTAACTTTTGGTCTTCGATTTTCGGTTTTGAGATGCGTTTTTTTTCATGTGTCTTGTCGGGAGGCCGGGGGGCCAGATTTTGTGATTTCGGAGCTGTTTGGGTGACGGTTTTCGCCGTATTTGTTGGGCAGAAACAGTGGTTTTTGCAATGGTTTTGTACATTGCCGAGGCTTGACGTCTTTGCGCGAAAATGTAAAAAACCTCGCAAGTAGCTGTGTTTTTGGCGACCATGTCGTTGAAAACGCTGCTGTTTGAGGGACAGCAGTTTGAGGCTTTGTTGTCCCAACTGTGATGCTCGCACTGCGGACCCGCTCGCCAGGTACGATGCTCATTCGGCCGATGTTTGGCCACTCCTCGCCTTTTTGGTTTTGGGGCCGTATCAGCTCAAGATTTACACTGTTCTGCGCTAAGAGCTGATACCTGATGAGCTACATGTTTCTGAAGGTCGCAAATGTGTTGTGACAGCGCAGCAGTGGTAGTCTTGACGAAACCCCATCAATGCTGTAACTTTGGGAAAGTGCAGCACGTTTGTTTTAGCATCAACGAGTTTTGTGTTTGAAATCACTGTTTTACTGATTCTCACGGTTTTTGCGCCTGTGCCCAACAATCCTCGGGGAATTCTTTTGGGACCCCAGGAATGGTCCTGGTGTAGGCATCCCATTGCCAGTGCTTTTGCAACCCCAATGATATTTCATGTGGTCTATGACTGACCCTTCGTGATCTTTGTGGCTTATCTTACGGTGCGTATGTCTTTTTATCAATTTTGATACTTTGGCTGCGCAATTCATTATGTAACCTTCCCGGCTCGGTTCTTCTCGGGCTTCAATGACTGTGGGGTCAAAGGGAAAAAGGTGCGCCTGGCATGTTTCTTTCCTTTCATATTTTATGCACCTTGCACTGTATTTCTCGGCTGCTCAAAAAAAGTAGTTTTACGTCCGAGTTGCAATACTTGGGGTTTTTACGGCGATCACATTTTCTGTCATGCTTGGCTGTTCACTGCATGTGCGCTCTTGTTTTTCATCCTGCAAGTTTCTTGTTTTGCATTAGGGTTTCTCCATATGCCCTTGGCGGCATTTGCAGGTTGCATTGTTCTCTTCGGATTTCTTTTTGCGCTTTGCTTGACCCGCAGTTTTTCGCGCTCTCAACCTGTTTGCTGCTGTGCTTGGCCGTTGTGCGACATGCAGTGTGGTCATGGCCATGGTTCGCACTTACCGCCTCCACCGCCACCGCGCGGTGACTTTGTCCAGCGTCCAGTACTTTCCTTCTCATCCTGGTGGTGGCTCCTATTCTCATGGCTTCATGCCTCAGGCCGTTCCCCCAGGCCTTTGGGCGCCCAGTGGGGGACCGCCTGGTGTCCACCGTGACTTTCCGAGGTCTCGCTCCCGTTTCGGAGGTCTTCACCTATGAGTTGACCTCTTTGATTTCTCGGTGCTCTCCTTCAGAGTTCCGCAAGGTGTTCAATGGTCTTGCTTCTACTCTTTGAAGTGTTGCATTCGAGGCCCCGGATGATGTGATCTTCGATGTGAAGTCGATTGCTGACAAAGAGGCACGCATGAATGAATATGTGCCGCAGGATCAATGACCTTCGCCGTGAGCGTCTGCAAGCACTTGCGACGCCTCAGACTTCTCAGTTCTATGCTGAGGATGGTCTCAAAATTGTGCCAATGTCGAGGCTCACTGAGAAGCACTTCTGGGACTTGTTCCACAAGCTCCCCATCACCACCACGGACCCAGCCAAGTGGAAGAGCGTGTTGAAGTTCCTGGACTCTTGTCCTCAAGCGCCCCGTGGGCCGCCCAGTTCTCGGGATGTTGAGTGGGCCTCTGGGGATCTCCTGGATGCGCCTGCCTTGCCTGGCCAGTGCCCCTCAGCAGTGTGGTATGGATGCCTTGCGTGCTTTGGCGGTTGGATCGCCGTCCAAGCCAGCTCCGGAAGCAAGTGTTGACTTTGCTGACTGGGTGAAGCGCCGGGTTGACACCGAAACTGCCAACCTCAGCGTTCACAATTTCGAGTTGGACTGTGAGAATCACCATTTTTCGGTGCGAAAGCTGTCGGCAGCCAAGGCTTTGATGCGGCTCAGCCCATTGGAGGCCATGAGCGACCTTACCAGACGGTGTTCCAGATCTACCTCCGCAAGTTGGAAAGGATCACGCCAAAGCTTGGAGCCAGGTCCAAGGACAACACGGCCTTGAACAAGACCCTCGATGCCCTGAACGTCAGTCCTGATGAGCAGGTCACCGCTCTGCTTGCCCTCTGCGCACCTGTGACAGAGTGCGTAAGCCGGCGTGACTTGATGGTTTTCCTGCTGATCCTGTACTGAGTGCTGCGCTGAGAGCTGCCCAAGATGTAATCTTGCTTCTGCGGTTTCGTTTGTTTTTACTTGCGTGACGTAATTGGAATGATCAGTTTTTGCTTCTGAGTCTCGCTGGGAGCCTTTGGCTTATGCTTTTGAAATGTGTGCCTTCTAAGCGGAACACTCGTTTGTTACATTTACTTGGTAATGACCCGTGGGTGCATGGATGGCATAATCTTTCTCTGAGGCCATGTCTGCGCATCATTTTCCCTTTTCCTTTACGGATCTCATCTCATGGCCCTGCTTTTTACGCGCGCGAAACTTTGCATTTTCGCCGTCGCATGGTGGAGCACATGCTTCGGATCGCTGCGCAGGACGGTGCTACGCAGCAGCCTTTTTATCAGGTCGTACGGCGCGGTTGTGACAATGGAACTCAGCTGTTTGCCGCCCTGAGTTTTTTGCTTATGCTGCCCGTGTGCATTGCTCCTGCCTCTACAGAGGAGCGCCTTCTTGCGGAAAGTGAGCTGTGTCGTGAACTCGGCACCTTAAACCCTCCGCTTGTGAACAATCTTTTGCCAAAACGAAAGCAGCGCTGCATACCTGGGATGCCGATTTTTGATTCGCCCCGTCCGATTTGTCGTCTCCGTCCTTCTTCACAGACTGTCGTAAGGCCTGTCTCTAGTCCGGGCCAGTCCGGGCTCAGGGCTTCTTCGAAAAGAATGGCGTGATGGCCTCAAGAAGATTGCCTCGGCCTTGGCTGGTCACAAGTTTCCCAAGGCTCGCTTATGTGCCCGGCCGCTTGGAGTTTGAGCCCCGGGGCTTGGGCCTATATGTCGCCCGCAGTGTCGACCAAAACGAAGAAGGTTGGCGGCGTAAGCGCGGTCGTAATCTACTCTGGGTGATCTCCAAGAAGCGGAGAAATCTTTGCCCGTTGCTTTTAATTGTGGTCGTCTATTTAAATTTCCAAGTGGCGTCAAAAGGGTTTTTGGGTGCCTGTGACTAGGCATGCCAAGTGTTTTGTATCCTGGTCGGCTTCTCCATCGCTGGCTCGTGTTTTATCTGGCCCTTCGCCTTTGCGAAAGGCGCTTGAGGAGGGGGTTTGCCCTGCCTGTCCTTGTCAGGCCGTGCGCTCAATGGCAGCCGGCTGGCCTGTTGTCACTTTTGAAGGCAGTGTGAGCACATCGCGGCCACGCATGGGTCCGTTCCCTGGCATGAAACGTTGCAGCATCTTGCCAGGTGGCCGGCCACTATTTGTCTGCCTCCTCGTTTTGATGATATTTCGGCGTCTGCGGGCCAGATGTCGAATACCGCTTTCTTCGGGCCCAGGGTTTTTTCGTGTGTATTTTTGATCACAATTCGTCTTGTCTTGGTGCTTTTTGCCCTCGTTTGGTTTTTGAGCTTATTGGATTTCCGGCATCACCAGCAGCCTGATGCCAACTTTGCTGGGTCTCTTTGCGATCGGGAATCGCATGAGAGGGTGTTCAAGGAAATGGCGGGCATCATCCGGATCATCTGGCGCCTGCCCTTTTTTCTTTTTTCTGTCGTTCTTGCTCATTGTTAATAAGCACGGCACTCCTTGTTGTGGGCTTCATTCCTTGGTTTCCCGTGCCTTGGATATTCTTTTAGACGCTTTCCCGGTGCACCTGTGGACTGACTATTTGTCTGTGGCATTGTCCCTTTAGTTTCGCAATTTAACCAGGAGGTTGAGCGCTATCAGTTTGACTCTGCTTGCGCGATTGCTGCTGACATGACTGATCGTTTTCGACACTTGCCTTGTCACAATTTTGCCATCGTGTGGGATGATTTGGCGGCATATTGGCATTCATTTTCTTTTTCAGTGGTTAGCATTTTCTAACACCAATCATGTTGCAATTGGTTCTTGGTTGGGGCGTGAACAGCATGGGGCGCCTCAAGGGGATGCTCTCAGTTCCGCTCTCCTCCGTTTGTGGAAATGGCACCGGGAGTATCATTGCCACTCAGCTAGGGTCGCAGAATGCATCCCGATACCCAACACCAAGGGCAAGCTTTTGCACATTTTTTGAATCTAATGTGCTTGTGTTGGATATTTCATACCGCGATGACCTGCGGATGTTCTGCGCATGGCATTCTGGGTCAAGCATTAT